GCCAGCTCCTTCCACTTGACCGCATCCAGCGCAGAGCGGCTCGAATCGTCGACGACCGAGACCTTTCCGATCGGCTCGATTCATTGGCACCGCGAAGAGATGTTGCATCCCTTTGCATTTTCTTTCGCATCTACCATGGGGAGTGCTCTGAGGAATTGTTCGGATTAATACTAACGTCTACCTAATAACGACTTCCTTGTGGAATCGATTACCATCAGCGATTTTTCCGGACCGATACGACTTAGGGACCTTCAACAAAAGAGCGTACTCCTTTTTAAAAGGCTGGCAACGTATCTGCAATTCCCTTCCTGGTGCAACTGCAATTGTTCATGGGCGGCGGTAGTCACTTACCATCAAGTGAGCCGCATGCTCGTTTGCCCCCTCTCCTATTAAAAAGAAACGTAGGGGCTTGTAGCATTCCCTATGATCATTGCGAAAAACATACTAGTGATAGGAGGCGGCGTATCATGGAATGGTGATACAGTACCACATTACCATGTTTATGTCAAGTACATACTACCAATTATGACACGAGTATCCGTTTTGCACGAAATTGTACGTATAAAATACAGTAAGACATGATCAAGTATGATTTTGCATCAAAATTAGCATTAACAATACACGTCACCCCACGCGACGAAGATACGATACATCAAGATGATCAAATGTGGATCCGGCTTTTTAAATGTATAATACATCTTCAGGGTGATAATTTATTAATAGATTCAATCGAACTATCTTGGACGCCTTTTTGATATGAGTTATGTTTATTAATGAAATTTAGAAAGCGGATAAATTAAAATCATTATTTGTGACAAATATCAATGTCATCTGTAATTTTTAGATAGTATTAGGAATCACAGGAAGGATAAGGAAATATTATGCAAGAAATATTTAAAGAGTCGGGTTAGTTCAGGGGCTAAGCGCTCGGTGTAAATTTCACAGTAAGCAAGCAATCCGTGTTCGATACCCGCCGGCACCAATGACATTGTTAATTATAATTTTAAGTACTAATTTACCACGTGCTCAAAAGTGAAGGGAAACATCGAGAGGAATACTAATAGCTGCAGCATGGCTCTAACATTCTAGATTGGTAGAGCCATGCAGAGCAGCTATTAGTAGTATAGTTGTAGCACGAATGGGTCGGCTCGACCGGGAAGTACCACGCTCTCTGAGAATAACAGCGTAAAATGGCAGCTTAACGCTGTTGTGTGTCGTATGGTGAGTGTAGAAAACCGGAGATCCTTTTTACTGGAAACGACGCATTCCATCTTAGTCCTCACGGGTGACAACGCATCTGCATTTTGATTCGTAATCCAAGATAGATGTAGATGTCTATGGGCCATAGGAACCACTTACCATTAGGTGGACAGTGTGCTCCTTCGTGTTCGTGATTTTTTTTATAGGATAAGGGTGACCCTTATCCTATAAAAAAAAGGAAACCGGCACGTCTGAGAAATAAGAAAAGAAAAATATTTCCTAAGATATATGAAATTCGCCAACACTCATTGCGGCAGCGCGGCGGACATTTCCTTGCCTTAAAACCCTCTCAGAAATGAGAGGAGGCCTGTACCCAGCAGTGGGACGTATAGAGGCTGTCACTTTAACTTTTTAACTTTAATGATTTAATCTAGTGACGGCTATCAAAATCACCATAATATACTTAACCAGAAGTGCATTAAGGATAGAATGAAAATATTACACACAATTCCAGTCCGTAGCTAGTAAAAGAAACGATCATGACGATCACTCTGCAATGTTTAATAATGTGACAATTTTGTACTAATAATGGTAATGTTATATAGATCATTTAAATATCAGTTGTACTAATTAAAAAAAATATTGCCACAAAAGTTTACTTTAGGAAGGTCGTAATTTGTAATCTTTTGTACAACATCGTATTTGATTTTAATCTTACGTAAAGCGCTTTCTAAAATTAATTACTAGTAGAAAAATCAAAGAAAAACATTCAATTGACATTACACACTAAATTGTATATAAAATCTGCATGGCACAAATATTATTAATAAACGATTACATGTTACTAAAAACTACATAACAATCAATTGAAATTTTATTTTAAAACCATCTACAACTGCATTTTAAAGAGTAATGCGTTTTAAAACTATTCAAAAAAACGTTAAAAAACTATAATGACAGTAGAAGAAAATGCGTGATTACGTAATGATGCCGATCAAGATATCGATGATAACGATTAAGAATTGGAAAGCTAGAATGACTAAGCTATTTACTAAAACTTTGCTTTAAAAATAAATATATGTTCAGTAGCCGATTTGTGATAGTTTGTGATGATGATATTAATTTTTTAATACAAGCAGAAAAAATTGTAAACGCAATATATCAATCAATGTAAAAGTCACAGAAGGTAAAATTAGAAGGACAAGCAGATGAGTAATGAAAGATACAATAAATAAATAATTTGCTAGATGGCAAAACCGCCGCGTGGCCAATCGACCGATACATTCAAAAACTTTCGCCGCTCGCTTTCGTTCAATACCAGCTGACTGTAGTTGAATTCCTCGTTAACGATTGTCGCGGTTACCGCCCGTGCAGTAACATATTTATTTCAGCATTAAATCATTCAGATAGGGAAACTTGGCCAAGTGAACTGAATTGACTTATTATATGTGAAAATAACGGTGTTCCGTAAGGAAGTTGTTTAGGACCGCGGAAATTAATTTGTACGTTATCTGTTATGACATTGGCAAAATAAATTATAATAAACTACTAAACTTACAAAGTCCACATTAAAAGAGAAACATAAAATACTCAATATATACCTTTAAAACAAACAGTATAGCTAATATAGTATAGAATTCCATAAAAAATATTTGTATCATACGCCATTCAAATTTTAAAAATAATGAGAACGGATTTCCTAAAATTTAACTTTCATTTTAGTAGATTGATATACTGTGAAGAAAGTTGAATAATATTTAAGTAAAATTACAGCGCTAACCGGTTTGAAAAAAATCTGACTTTTGTAATTCAATATTACGGCCATTATCCTGCACCAATAAGAGCCATTAATCTTTACAAAAGAACACTTAAAACAAACAAAATTAATCAAGATTAATGCGTTATGTGTATATATATACACAATGATAAACTGTCTACATAGATAAAAAATAATGTTTTGATTAATGCTTGTGTCACAAAATCAAAACACAGTATTATTTCTCAGTCAACACTCGAAAGCGGTATCAATTAATTTAAAAAGAATTCGTTGTTTGCCAGTTTTAAATTCAACATGATACCAACACCCAAGATGTCAATTTAACTATAATTTTACCAAGGTGTTATTTAAATAAATATATGTTAAATCTGAAAATGTTAAATTATAGATTTATTACTAGTATTTTTTTTTAAGAAAAGCATTGACCTTTTGTAACTTCATAAGTTACACAAGAGATATATTCATTTCTTCGTAATAAATTCATAATCGAATATTCAATACTTAAGTATTTTTAAGACAATAACAACTAATACACCAATACGATACGCACACACCAAACGCACTATTTCAATGAGCGACCTATAAATGCCGTAACTGTACTTTAGGCCCAGTTTCCACCAAAGCAGAGAAGAGAGGATACGAGATGTGCTGCAAAGCTGGCAGGTTATATCCACCAAAGCGGAGAGGAGAAGTGTAGCGGAGAGGAGTTGTGAGCTTTGTGTAGCAGAGATGTGAGCTGTAAAATATCGGAACCAGTTTAGTTCTGTTTACGAAAGGAAGACGTAATGTCGTTACAAAAGTTGTATCTGAATTTGCTTGAGGAAGAGGAATTAGAGGTTGAAGAAACACGGCCGCCCGACTAGACACTTCTCCGCTCTGCCGCACGAAATTCTACAGAAAAATGAGACATCTCCTCTCCTCTTCGCTTGATCCACCGAAGCTAAGCGGAGAAGAAATGTGGAAATAACTAAACTAAATAAAAATTGGTTTATTCAAACACATCTCCTCTCGTCTCCTCTCCTCTCTGCTTTGGTGGAAAACTGGCCTAGCGTATGGTTAATAGTTTCATATAGCGAAAGTAGAATTATGTATTTCGTAACTAAAAGTAGAAAAATTCCATTCCTATACATCGTACGCAATTATTAACCCTGTAGCTTGGTCGAAATATTTTGGCAGAAACCGCGCCTCTAATGTTAGAATATTTTCCATAGTAATTGCGGCGTAATATTGAACTCAGTTTCTTCTTCACAAATGAGCAAAAATAAAAGAATTCATGGGAAAAGCCCACGTTTCGTCCTACTTAATAAGATTTTTTGGGACGTTTTCCTCTTATATATACGTAAACAAAGTATATTTTATTACACAATATTACTCAAGTGTTTGAGAGTGAGGATTTTTTCGCGTTATATTCGCAATAATATGTTGCAATAATGGATTATTCATCAACAATATCTTCCAATTGATATGACAATAAAGCAATAATCTTTTGTTTTTATTAGAAAGACTATATTTACATTAAGAATCCATAAAATATCAAGGTTCTCCATTTCAAAATAGTAAATTAATAATACAATCACTGGATCTCTAATCAAGTGAACTGGTTTACGTATTTCTAATCTAATTAATATAAAATATAATTACTATTACACACACAATAAAACATTATCCATTGCATTTTCCTAACAAATTCACTTCCCTGCTATGCAATTTGTCAAACATGTCACCTCATTCTAAAGTGGCGCCGCCTTAGTGGCAGAAAAAGTCGTGGATGCAATCATTAATGCACCTTCACACTACACGCGATGGCAAATTTCGAAGGCTTTCAGCCGTTGTCAGGCTAATAACAAAAGCTTTCTAACAAAATTAACATAATATAGATTAAGATAAAACTATTTTTAAATCAGTTCAAATAAATTATCTTAATTGTGATTAAATTCTTCTTAAAACAATTTTATAATTCGTTTTGATCGTATTCTTAAATAACATTGGAAAAAATAACTAAAAACAAAAACAAAGTACTCACGATATCGTGCCCTTGACTGCCACTCCTGACCACCTCTGGTGCCATATACTCGATAGTGCCGCAGAAACTGTACGCCCGGTTCTCACCGCCGCAGAACTCCTTGGACAATCCAAAGTCCGTCAGCACTATGTGACCCTCGGCGTCCAGAAGTATGTTCTCCAGTTTGATGTCCCGATAGATGATGCCAAGCTAGAGGGAACGATGATATTCATATTAGAGCAGATGAGTATCTTGCGCGATGTATGCATAATCATCATGGCCAATCTTTTTTTTATGGAATAAGGATGACAAACGAGCACACAGTCCACCTGATGGTAAGTAGACGCTGTAGTCCCTAGACATGTTCATTTATCCTCGATTAAGAATTAAATTGTCACCCGTGAAGATTAAGATAGAATGCCTCGTTTTTAGTAAAAAGGGTCACCGGGTCTCTACACTCACTATACGAAACACTGCAGCGTTAAACTGGAGCGTGGTCCTATCCCGGTCGAGTCGACCCTATTCGTGCTACAACCATACAGTGCAGCGTGACTCTATCACGTACATCGAAGAAAAATCGAAGTGACAAATAAACATATAGTCCATATGCACAGTAAGTTCCTACGGCACTCCATGAGCACCTTCACCCAAACTTCATACAGATAATGCTACAGATCCCAAGATGGAATGCCTCACAGCCTGTAACTATACTGACTCTTTATACTCTTCAGACTGGATCACAGCAGTGCAGGCACTTTGGCTAGGTGATAGAGGTAAAAAGAGTAGTAGGTTAGTATTACACGTGGTAGAGCCATGCTGCAGCTATATTAGTAGTACAGTTGTAGCACGAATGTGTCGGCTCGCACGGGGAAGGACCACGCTCTCACAGAATACCGACGTCAAATAGCAGCTTAACACTGCTGTGTTTCGTATGGTGAGTGTAGAGAACCGGAGACCCTTTTTACTGAAAACGAGGCATTCCATCTTTGTCCTCACGGGTGGCAACGCATCTGCATTTTGATTCGTAAACGAGGATAAATGTAGATGTCTATGGGCCACAGCAACCACTTACCATCAGGTGGACTCTGTGCTCGGTTGTCACCCTATACTATAAAAAAAGGATTCCCAAATAAATAAAGTGGAAAGTAGAAGAAACAAGGCCGGTCACGCGGTCATAAAAACAGTTTGACGTGTCTGCCGAGACGAACATATTTTAAGTAGCTGGTTCTTGTCTGCAGAAGTCTAACTTTTGACATTAGTCGTAATTACTGTTCTAAAGCGTCGGCATCAACATCACCATCATTCCGAATCATTAAAAGTCCACTGCTAAACATAAGCCTCCCCCTAGGAATGCCACAAAGCGCAGTCCTGAGTCATCTGCATCCATCTACTTCCTGAGCCTCTTACCAGGTCGTTACTCCATTTAATCGAGCTAAAATAGTTCTAAACCTATTTTTTTTTAATTTATTTGACCTAAAACTAATGGAAGATAAAAATATCATTCTTGCACAATAAAGCTGTGTGGCGTATGGTGGCGACAAACGAGAATCGATTTATTTTTAAGCCACTGCTAAAATCCCATGGTAAGTGGTGATAAGCCCTAGATGGTTAATCTCACTGCTTTAGTGTAACAAAAGACTAATTCACTCTTGCCTTGCAGATGCCCAAATTGGTATCTTTGCTGTAAGCATTACGAAAGGCGAAACAAATCGATTGGTTTGAACGCATGGAGTATCAACAACAAATGGGTGAAGACCCGCCGATCGCCTGTTTGTACGATGGTGGAGAGGTGGGAGGAATTAAGGCATATAATTCATGCGCGAATTATTCTGTTGCTTCTCGTGACTTTCGTCACTTTAATCGCCAATCCGCCTACCAAGCGTAACGAAACTAGCTATCCTTCCCACAATATAAGAGACCTATACACGAAAGGACAGTTACAGGCTCACGAAGAATTCTGCTAAGCCCATAAGCAGGTCACTGATCCACATGGTAGTTAGTTTGTTATCCATAACGTCTCACCTTATGCAGCTGCTCGAGCGCCAGGATGATCTCCGCGATGTATATCCGAACCTCGTTTTCGTGGAAATGCTCCCGTTGGTAAAGGTGGGTGAACAGCTCACCTCCGGCTACGTAATCTGCGAAAGAATAGTGTCGATTATAATCCTAGTACCTAGTAAGTTTGTACCGGTAATTGTACTCTACCTCCCTCTGCCCTTCACAGGATCTCTTTTTTATAGAATAAGGGTGACCAGCGAGTACACAGTCCACGTAAGTGCATGGTAAGTGGTTGCTGTGTCCTATAGACATCTACATCTATCCTCGTTTGCTAATAAAATGCAGATGCGTTGTCAGCTGTGAGGACTAATATGGAATGCCTCTTTTCCAGTAAAAAGGGTCTCCGGTTCTCTACACTGATTTGGATTTTAGTAAAATTTTTGCGACACGTAGTTTTTACTCACAACTACACGCGGTGGTATATCATTTAAATTTGAATTAACAATTTCATCGGTGTTGACAAAAATCAAACTAAGCATACTATAAAATTAAGAGCGAGCGCTCTTCCCCCGAATTGCCACACCTCACGTTAATTTAAATCTAAATTTAAATAAGGAATACAATTTTCGTTTGAATTTGTCATTATTGCCCTCTACCGTCGTTATCAAATTGCGGCTGTCTACTGCCAGACATAGGGTTAGAGATCGATCTAAGGCTTCACGCATTGTATTCACCTAGCCGCCTTTCGCAAATTATCTGTAGCGTATAATATGTTATTTTCAGTTTTTCTCCAATTACTCAGCATTACATCTTATTAACAATTAATACTGACTATAGTACGGTCTAAAATAATGAAATCAATACGCTGTAAGAGTAACTACTTAAAAATTATTTAAATGTTGTCTTGTTTGTGTGTGCGCGAGCGGTGTGTGTGTGTGTGTGTGTGTGTGTGTGTGTGTGTTTGCGTGCCGTAGCGGCGATGTTGTAAGGGTTGACTGATATGTGTATGGTAAATGCCTGATAAACATTATACTTCCGACAGACATAAAATACAAGATCGGCGACGGGTAGCAGCATCAATGGTACTGCGATAGTCAATCAACGGGAGAGGCCAATTTCCAGCAGTGGACTTTAATGCGCTGAGGGTTCTCTACACTCACCACACGAAACACAGCAGCATTAAGCTGCTACTTTACGCTAGTATTCTGTGAGAGCGTGGTCCTTTCCAGTCGAGCCGACCCATTCGTGCTACAACTACAATACAGCTGCAGCATGGCTCTACTACATATAACAGTTGTCCGCTACACAAAAAAAAAGTGAAAGAAACAATATATGATAATGAAAGAAAAAAATGTAAAATGTAATGTACTTGTGTAGTTATAGATTCTGTATTTTTTTATTAATTATAATATTTACAATTAATACATAACTAGGTGTATGTTTATAAAACTATCACTACTACTATACACGTTGACATCGTGTTTCACATAACGATAAAATATACTTATGTGATTAAAATTGCTTTATGATTGACAGAATTTGTGTGTGGTAATATAGTCTGCGGCTGATCTTGGTGTAACCAAGTATCAGCCGCAGACTATATTATGGGAGGCCCGTGTCCAACAGTCATCTCTTACAGTCTCAAATGAGTAAGTCAGAAATTGGGTATTTTTTTAAAACGTTACCCCCACACTAGGATTTTTTCCTGTATCGTGGAGGCAGTTTACAAACACAAATTGCACAAGGACAAACATCCAGAACCGGAACAATTATTTGTAGGCCATACAAATACTTGTTCCGTGCGGGATTCGAACCCGCGGCCCCCAGCGCAACGACTCATTGCTAAGTCACTGCGCCACGGAGCCGTCTTTGACACTATATTTATTAAAACAATGAACTGTCATAAAAAACGACTGTGTATTTAATTGTCGATAGAATATTTCATCAAAAATTTATATTATTTTACTAGCTGAACAGGCAGACGCTGTTCTGCCCTCTCCGACGACCCTGTGCCCTATAAAAATTCTTAAATTCGTAATAAGAAATATTGAGGGTCACTTATCGGTATAAAAACTATCCTATCTCTCAAGTTGGACCAAACTGCACACATTGTGCAAAATTTCATTGAAATCAGTTCAGTAGTTTAGGAGTTCATCGCGGACAAACAATGTGACACGTAATTTTTATATATAAGAAGATTAATAATTCATCAATTCAAGATGAATTTATTACAATAGCGTTGCGTCCTTATTATTTCGCTAGCACTATCACAGCGACATATTCTCATAATAACGTATTCATGTACAGTTAAGTGACGATGTTTCTCCATATCACGATATCAACTGCTGTTTTCCGGTCTAGAGGGTATAGTCAGTGTGATTACAGGCTGTGAAGCATTCCATCTCAGTCCTCAGAGGGACAACGCATCTGTACACTTCCTTGTTTGAAGGTGGATTGTAATTTTGTTTGTAACTTATAAAATCATAATTATAACTTTTAACAAAAAGTAAAAACCGACGTCAGTTTGCTAAAAAATAACTTGTTAATTTGCTAAACTTAGGGGTGGAATTTTTTCTCCAGTCTTCTATTTAATAAAAAAAAGAATCATCAAAATTGGTTCACAAACTGCGAAGATATCGCGTAATATACAATACACAAAATAAAACATACACTCGAAACGAGAACCTTTTACTTTTTGAAGTTGGTTAAAAAGGTGGGGATTATATGACAAATCTAAAACTAAAGAGCAATAGTCTATTGCAAAAATATCTACTTCGTTAGGGTTTTAGTCTAGGGACTTTCGACTTACAATTTAAAGTTGGTAATGTTGTCTAAAATTTAATAAGGACCGGAATTTTCCTGCGAAATTTCGGTGGTTTTACCGCAGTGCCTAAAATAATACGTATTATTCATCTCTCGTATTACTTTTATCGCCGTAGCGGGCCGATCTGGGTCAAAGACTCACTTAGATATTTCGACCCAGATTTACGTACAGTCGACCGCATGAAACACGCAACATAACGCATTGTACGTCCCTTATTATTTAAAGCCAAATTTGTGCAACCGTCTCTTTGACAATACAATCCCTTCTAAACATTTCAGTTTTTTTATGGCAACTTCTGTAATGACTTCAACATGAATAATAAGTCAGCTTGACTACTTGAATAGAGCAGCATAACGTTCCCTTATATATCACGTAGGGTAGTGAAGAGAAAAAAAAACTTTTTCTCTTAAAGAGGTAGTCCACCTTCATCTTTAGCTATGCTATGTAACGCATTCGAATTTTGGTTATAAATCGAGGATAGATTTAGTTGTATTTTATATATGTTACTATTTATTTTACAAAATAACAAATGTAACAGACATAAATAAAATACCGTGTAGCTATCGTGTATTGGCGGTGTAAGAATATCCACTACCCCATATCATCCCGTGGACGGCAGAAGGAAACTGAAATAAAAGGTGGGATGCAGTATCCACCTGATTTCAGCACGAAATAAAAAGTTGCGGTTAACAACCCACTTGTCAAGCGTGGCATCTATGGCAAATATCCCTTCTAGGAGGCAATCTATGGGGGAGCCCAATGTACAGCAGTGGACTTTAATAGGCTGTAACGGATATAAATAAAATTATAACCAATTGATCAGTCCACCTGAACCACCACAAATGGCCCATAGACATCTATATCTTTTTTTTTATAGGATAAAGGTGACAAACGAGAACACAGTCCACCTGATGGTAAGTGGTTGCTGCGGCCCATAGACATCTACATCTATCCTCTATCCAACTATGGAATCAAAATGCAAATGCGTTGTCACCTTAAAAGACTAAGATAGAATGCTTCGTTTCCAGTAAAAAGAGTCTCCGGCTGTCTCCGCTCACCATACGAAACACAGCAGCACTTTACACTAGTATTCTGTGAGAGCGTTGTCCTGCCCCGGTTGCACCGAACCATTCACGCTACAACCCTAACATGGCTGCCGCGTGGCTATACAACGTATTTTCACTATACTTATTATACGAAGAGCCAAAACGTCTACACATCAGGTGGTCTATGGGCCCATATGATACCCATACTTTAAGCTGCGCCCAACGAAACTCGCTCTGTCTATGTGATTTACTTTAACAGTATCACCGTTTTACCACTAACAAACAAAACTATCGTTTCTCTAAAATCGCTAGATGAAATATGTTTGTATGTCCCACTCAGATCTTCCTTAAGAAATCCTTTAAATGATAGTGGACCGTACGAGCATTCCAGATACGGATGCGGACAAGCAACTTCGTTTTATATAGTAATTTGTTACATCTGTGCGGTCGACTGCACATACCGGCGATGGGACGTCGCTCCTTATGATGATAAATAACCTCTGTGTTTTGGATTGGCGTATGAAATCGCCATTATGGTGTTTCTAATGTGTTGTTGTTTGTGGGTCAAGTGGAATATCACCTGTGGATGCGACGCATGAATTTTTATCAAGTGTTTATTTTAAGATTTAATAAAATAAATATATTCTACTAAACCATCGCTTATCTACGATCCCACCTGATGGTAAGTGGTGATGTAGCCTAAGATGGTGAAGCGCACTGTCTTAACAAAAACCTATTCACTCTTGTCTTGAAGACACCTTACACTGTAATCGAATGGAAGACAGATTGCCAGACAGATGCTGGCAACATATTCCACTCCTTTGCTGTACGCATGATGAACGACGTAGCGAACCGTTTGGTTCGAATGCGTGGTAAGTCAACAACAACTAACCAAATTATTATGATACATTTATATTTATAGTGTCTCAAAGCTATAACTCCACAATGCCAGTTACTTCAGTTTCATATCGTGGTTAAAATTTGAGCCTGATTTTACTGGAACATTTTTGAAGTGAACACTTCGTTAGAATCGCTGTGTGATTTGAAACTCGTTAAAACGAAAAAGCGACACTAAAAAAAAGACAAACATATACATCTAGGATTTAACCTGTGAGAGAATGAGATAGCATAGAGTATACAGTGTTTCCCATTATCTCGGTTTCTTTTTCTGAAGACATCACTTCTACCGCGTGTGAACTGCACACACACTTTTTTTTTTCAAAGAAACCTTACGTTATATCTAAATCCTATTGGTCACAGATCCTGGTTA